TAGCATCTGTGGTTGATGAGTTATAGCCGTTCAAAGGTGACCAATCACACTTGCGTTTCTTTTGGTAGCCACTGTATAATAAATAAGAATGGTAGAATATAGACCCCTAATATTTTATGAATATCTTAAAAAAGATCCAGAAGATTTTTTTAAAGATTTTTAGAGATATGTAGTAGCTAGTCAAATAAATGTAATTCTTAGAGCAGGATAGGCTTCTGAAAGAGCAGAGGCTTTAGGTTTATTAATATCTTGTCTTGAAGGATCTGCTAAATAATAGTATAAAACTCGTATCAAAGATAAGAATTAGAATGTAATAATCTTTCAAACAACTTGAGAGTAGCAGACTTGAACGCTGTTTAAGTAATAGGAGCTGAAAATAGTGATAATCAAATTAGTGGTTTGAATACTGTTAAAAAAATTCAAGGTAAAGCGGGAGCTAAAATTGGTAAAATTAAAGTAGGATCACAACTGGTGCTAATATTATTCTGAATGGAATATGGAATGAAAACTGATCTATTGCATGTGATAAGTCTACAAATAATGTATCAATAACGCTGAATGCTAATAGAGGGTTTCCTGCTATTACAATAGCGCCTAATATCATACTTAGCCAACTTATATACTTACTTAAAACTGCCTATATGATTGTTAAACACTTAAAACAGATAGTAGATTTGATTAATTTATGTAAGGGAATATTGATATTAAAGAGTTTTCCACCTGAGTCAAGAAGATTGCTAAATTAGCTAGAATGACTCCTGAATAACAAAGAAAGCAATTAATTCATAGTTTAAGTCCTATAAACTAGTATAATCTTTGAAATGATAGCTAAGTTTCATGATATACATGACAATATTATAGAAGCCTTAGCTGAAGCAGAAAAATTTACATTATCTTAAAAGAATGCACCATCTTCTATTCTAATTTTTCTAATGTCCAACCTTTATGTAGAAACTAATAAATCAGAAATGACTAAAACTGAAATTAAGAATTTAATAAAAACTATAATGGCATCTTCTCAGCCTCATTAAAACACTGATTTACAATCTACCATTAAATCCTTGAAAGAAACTATGTCTTAAGCAAATAAGATTCTAGATAATAGTAAAAAATTAACTAAAAAGAGAGCAGAAAATCTTATTGTTAGATATTTTTTGAGTGACTTACTAAGGACAAAATCAAATAAGCAACCTGAAGATGATTATAATTATGATCCTATAGATGATATTACAGATAATATGGTAGGCTTAACATTAAATAGTGTTATAAATGCTATTGTTAAACGTGCTGTTAAAAATTATTTTCAGGTCACAAATGCTCTAAGTGCAAAAGACCTGAATATAATTCCTGAAACTGTTCTCAAAAGAAAAAAAAGAAAAGCAAGAAGTTTAAAAAAAGTAAGGTTAATCTCGCTACTATAGATTCAGATTTAAATTTAAATTCAGATTCTTCTTCTGATACCTTATCTAGTGATAGTTTTGATTCTGATACAAGTTTCTCAGATTCTTTTAATTCTGATGACAGTCTTAATGTTTATATATTCAAGATAAAAAAAAGTAAAGTAGGAGTCTAGCTCTAAGAAATCATTCTTTAAAAAAATGTCTAACGCTAAACTGAGAGAAGTTTCACTAGAGAAAACTATTTGTAAAGTCCTCCAAAGTAAACTTAAATTAATTTTCCTGCATATTTTTCCTTCTCCAAGAATTCTACCAAAGGTACTTCCAGTAGTCTCATTGTGTTCAAACAAATAGTGTTTATACAGAAGAAGATAGTATCTCAAAGCAATATCCTTTTAGCTTCTAAAGATTCAACTTCAGATGAGTCTAGTCTAGAGAAGGAGTTCTTAGACGATCTTATAAAAATCTATTTCATTCAGAAAAAGGAGCTGAAAACAAGTGTTGTGACTGTAAAGTATAAAATCAAGTGCTTAAAGATTTCAGTTATGACTCTTGACTCTAGAGCTGAGCCTTCAATTATAACAAAAAATATTGTTGATTGCATTAGGGCTATAATTGATAAATCTTAAAAATATGACCTTAGTGGTATTGCTACTATCCCTATTGAATCTATTGATATTATTTGCAATTTGCCAATTACCTTAGCCTTAGGACTCACTATTCATGACAATTTTCTAGTTGTAGATTATTACAAGCTAACACTAATATTTTTCAATCAACTCTTAAAGAAATATGGATGCACAGTAGACTGGAATATAAATGAGTTAAAGATTCCTTTTAATAGAAAAAATTATATTATTTTTGTCATTATGCATAAAGTCAAAAACAAGTTCAAGGTAAATTGTGCAATCACTACTTCTAAATATGATAAATTCTTGACCTTAGACTGTATTTCATAGGATTTAAGTGAGAATAATGATGTATTAAAAAAACACATGAGTTATGAGAATATGGCATTTCATATGAAAGAGCTCAAAAAGGTATTATTTTCTAGTATTCAATCAAATTTGAAAATTATAAGGTACTATAATAGTTTGCATAGTCAGATTGAATAGGATAAATAACTATTTAAAATAAGAGGATAATCAGATGCTTTAATTTTTTCTAAAGTATTATCAGTTCTCTTATACAAAACTAAGACATTTTTAGAGGAGTCAATAGGTGAAATAATTTCTTTTTTTATTTCAGGTATTGCTTGAATCCCTTGGAAGCATTTCTTTTCTTCAGTCTTTTTTGTCTTACTACCTTTACTTTTTTCTGAAACTAAATCAGTAGATTTGCTAATTTTAGTATTATGTATCTTATTTTTCAGTACTGTAAAGGCAGTATTAAATTTATTTTGAAAATTTCTTTTAGCTTAGTACTCCTCATTCTGTTTATTTATAACATTCGTACTTGAAGTAACTGCTAAATCATTTCATTAAATCCTATTAAACTATTATTCTCTTCAAATTTGATATAAGTGACTATTTGATATATTATATTTTTTACTTAGTTGAGTCAAAGGTTTAGACTTTATATCACAGTATTGCATAATGTTTTTATAATCTGCGAGGAATAAGTATCTAGTCCTAAAACTAATATATTTTAAGCAGAGATGTAATCATATTAATAGCTAATTGTTAAAGAATTTTTTCACTATAAATAAAAAATACATAAAAAAATATTAATACTATGGTAATATCAGTAATATAATAGTATCAGTACTATGCTAATATTAGTAGTATTAGTAATATTAGTATCAGTTATATAGTAGTATCAGTACTATACTAGTATCAATAATATAATAGTATTGATAGTATCATTAGTATTAGTATCAGTTATATGGTAGTATTAGTATTATGCTAATATTAGTAATATGCTAGTACTGTATAGCGCCGCATATAGTATCTCTCAGCAATAGTATCCCCTTAAGTAGTATCGGGTATTATTCAACTTTAAATTCAGGTGTTTTTGAAAAATACTCTGATACTAATCAAAATTCGATTTTGAAAAGTATCCCCGGTACTAATCAAAATCTGATTTTGAGAAGTATCTCTGGTACTAATCAAGATCCAGCAACATGTATACTTTATTTATATCAATTTAAATAAATAATAAAAATACTCGTAAAATTTCAATTAAATTTTATTAACGAATCATAATATTGTTACATAAACAAAGCTACTCATTATTCCCATACGTTAACGTAATTTGTTCCTTGTTCATAGTAACCGTTAAATTCTTCATCATATTTATCCTCTTCTTCTTCATATCCATCCTCTTCCTCATCCTTTACATTCTCTTCATCCTCTTCATCCTCTTCATTCTTTTCGTCCTCTTCATCCCCTTCATCCCTTTCATCCCCTTCATCCTCATAATCCTTATCATATTTATCCGATTTATCTTCTAATTTATCATTTAATTGATTTGTTTGCCCAAGACGATTATAATTAAAAATCCAGTCATCTTCGATTCCATCACGTTTATTAGAGATGCCACAGCATTTAAAAGATCACCTAATCACATTAACATCAACTGCATTCTATGAATCTTTAACCCAATTTGCTACAGTTTCATAAGAAGGCCTTTTAAATTTACCGGTTGGTGTTAACTTTTTTACAGTTTCTGCCATCCACTTATTATAGTTTCGTCGCATCTATAAAGATGAAAATAATAAAAAATTTAATAATTTTTTTTTTAAAATATAATTATACTAGAAATCAAAGAAAGTAGAGGAAATTAAAGGGTAATTATGTAGAAATCGAAGGGTAATTATAAAAGGAATTGAAGAGTAATAATGAAAGAAATCAGAGGGTAATAACAAAGGGAATTGGAGGGTAATGATAAAGGGAATTGGAGGGTAATAATAAAGGAAATCAGAGGGTAATAACAAAGGGAATTGGAAAGTAATAATAAAGGAAATCAGAGGGTAATAATGAAGGAAATTGAAGGATGATAATCGAAGGTAATGGTAAA